GTTTTATCTCATTTTTATTTCTATGAGCATATTATGAGCCAGAAATTTCATATTGGCTTATGAGCAGGTAATATGATTTTTAAATGTTAACTGTTTCACATTTGTTAAGATCTTCTTTATGGCCAAGCGTATGATTTTTGTAAATATTTCTTGAAAATATATGTATGTTTTCCATTTGAGTTTATAAGGACCTCTGTGCCTATGAAATAAGAAGTATTTGTTACATAAAGTAGAAGAAAGCAAGATTGGAGCAATCAGGATAGATCCCCCAGAAGATTCCATACACTGCACTTCTCACATTTCCCTGCCACACTCCTCCTCCTCCTCGTTTTTTTCTGCCTCCCATGGGTGAACTTCATGTTCCTGAATGAGACCAACCCTTTGCTAGGTAATGGCTTCTATCCCATCTTACCTGTTCATGGTAATTCTTCAATTCTGCCCACTCTTTCCTGTAGCAGCAGACATTTCTGTCAGCATAGAAAAATGTATAGTTTCTCTTGTCCTAAAATGCCCTCTTTTAGCCCTGTGTCCCTCTCTCTCCCTGGTTGCCTGTCATTTATTGCAAAACTTCTTGACAGATTATCTAACTGCATTGCCTACAATTCTTCCCATTATCTCTTCAACCTGCTTCAACCAGACCTTTCCTGCCTACTGCCATTATTCCACCATCGTCCATCCCCCAGTGCCTTGCCAAGGATAACAGTGATCCTCCTGTAGATAAACCCACTGGGTACTTCTGAGTCCTTATCTACTTTACTTGACTTCTCAGTGCTGTCCAACAGCAGCATGATGCAAGCCTCATAGGTAATTTAAATTTTTCTAGTAACCACATTTAAAAAGGTAAAAAGACAGGTGAAATTAATTTTAATATATTTTATTTGATCCAGTATATCCAATATATCATCATTTCAACATATAATCAGTATAAGAATTCCCGAGACTTTATCTTATTTTTATCATTCCAAGTTTTTGAAATCTGGCATGCATTGTACCCTGCCAGCGTATCTCAGCCTTGAGGAGCCACATACCACTGGGTACTCCATAGCTGTGTGTGACTTCCTGCCACCAATTGAACAGCACCTCCTCAAGTGCCCTTTCCCTCTCTTTTTGCCCTTGTAATGACCATTTACATGCCTATCTTGAGTGTTACCTTAGTCATTTTGCATATATATTGTGTACAGCTGCCTTGTGCTAAGTGGTAGGCTAGATTCTGGTTGTGCAGTGTTGTACCTTTATGTAATATACCTGGTCTTAAGCTTGTGTTGCCCAAGTCTTATTCTCTTTTTTGCAGTGAAACTTTTTCTGAGGCTCTATTTCCTCCCTTCCCTCCTTCCCAGTAAATTAGATATTTTTATACAGCAGCGTGTATTGCTTTGTTATAGTCCTTATCACAGTTGTAATGGTTTACTTGTGCAATATTTGTTTCACGTCTGGATTCATGTTATCATTGTTTGCTGCCATATTTCTGATACTTGGAACACAGTCTCGCACCTAATAACTTCTCATACTTCATTCACTTACATGCCAGGCATGGCCCTGCTTCCGTGTGATCTGGTGGTGGACAAGGTGGACATGATACTCCCATCCTCATGGGGCTTTCCTTCTAGTTATAAAATAGGATATAAGAAAGAAAATAAGCAATATAAATAATGTGATTGCGCTAAAGGGCTATAGTAGGGTGGTATAAGAGAGAGTATCTGAGTGTTTGATTTAGAGTAGGTGGGCACTGCCAGCCCCTGTTAACCCTGTTCTCTTTATAACATGTTTTAAATTATCTTTTGCTATCCTGAAATTAAAATTACAGAGCATGTTATTCCCCTACTCAAATAATTTTTTAAAATCTCTTATCAGTATCTAAAAGTTCAGCACAATACATTGGAAGGCACTATAGTCAGATGCACCCACTTAGTAATGACTTTTAATTTGAGGGAGGGCAATCAGAAGTCACTCCATACAAATGGGATAGGAAAGTGATAGGGAAAATTAATGTGGCTGACCTTGGGGAATAATGCCAGAATGAGGCAGAGAAACAATTTTAAAAAATGTAATTTCCATAATCTAGATGTCTTACTATGCCTTCGAATTTTTTCTTAAATTATGAGATAGCAATAACAAGGACTAATTGAGATAGTATTCCTCATTTCATGTGTCACCACCAACATAATGATGTTCAGCTCTCAGTCTGTTGGAAGGAGCCTCTGACATCTTCTGTTACATACGTGCATGCAGTAGCTACAGATGCAAACTGATACAGGTGCATTGTGTCACTGACCAAAATAACTATAGCAAGTCTTACCCTTGGTGGTGTCATTCTCCAAAACGGTGAGCGACTCTTAATAAAACTTCAAAAACAGCATAATATAGGATTCCCTTGCGTTACACATAAGTTGCGTTGCTGGAAAATTCAATGCAGAGCATACTTTGTGGTTTTAAACAGACTTTGTTTCTAGAGTCAAATTTTGCACTGACATAAATACACACCAGGATATTTGAAAGCCATTGAGGATACAGGACAATTTTTTATTGTGCAGGAATTACCCGTGCTTCACGTGACATCTAGCACCCTTGGTTATCTTTCATATTCCTTATTATTTGGTCAACTAAAAACAGCCCACCCCTGAAATGATTCTACCCCAACGAAACTAGAGCACATATCATCAAGACAAGATCATAACAGTAAATTAGGTCAGAGAGGCAGGCAGGGGTCAAATCATGTAGACAGTTTGCTGATAGAAGTCATGCTGTGTAAATCATGTAAGTTATGATGCTTTGTATTGTACCTTTTTAAGCAGGGGAGTGATATGATCTGGCTTCCAGGTAGGGATATTATATTGTAGCATGGATGAAGGGAAACCAGTTAGGAAAAATGGCAGGACTCTAAGCAGAATACCATATGGTGGCCTGGACCATAGTGACAACTGTGAAGATGGGAAATAATAAACACATGGATTCTGGATGTTTGGAGCTGAAGTTGCCAGGGACTTGTGGAGAGATTGGATAATGGGGAAAGGGAGAAGAATCAGTGAGAATGCCTTTATTTTTGTTTTTATTTTTTGGCTCAGGATCTGGTTGAACATGATCCTTTTTTTTTTTTTTAATTTATTTTTTTTGAGACACAGTTTTGCTTTATCCAGGCTGGAGTGTAGTGGCATGATCTCGGCTCACTGCAGTCTCCAACTCTGTGGTTCAAGTGTTTCTCCTGCCTCAGCCTGCCGAGTAGCTGTGATTACAGGCACATGCCACCACGCCCAGCTAATTTTTGTATTTTTAGTAGAGACGGGGTTTCACCGTGTTGACCAGGATGGTCTCAATCTCCTGACCTCATGATCCGCTCGCCTCATCCTACCAAAGTGCTGGGATTACAGGCTTGAGCCACCGCGCCCGGCCAAATGTGATGCTTTTTATTGAAGTCCGGAAGCCTGGAGGAAGAACATGTTTTGAGAGAGTACCCTTTTGACTATGTTGTTAGTAATCTCTCACAGACACCCATGTGGTAATATGACATAGGGAGTTGGATGCATGAGTCTGAGTTCCAGGGAGATGTCAGGGCTGGAGATGGTACTTAATGCGCCAGGACTGTATGGTATTCGTTTGCCATGGCACAACTAGGGGGAATAACAGGACCCACCCAGCACAGAGCTGTGCAGCCCTTTCACATTTATAGATTGAGTAGGAGAGAAGCCAATAAAAAGAACTGGGAAAGAGAGACCAATGAGATGGAAGAAACCCCAAAAGGGCAGGATGTCCCAGAGGATAAGCGGGAAGAATATGCAGAGGGACTGTGGGACATGCTGTGGAGAAGCCTAGGCCCAGAGAATGGAGGACTGCCTGTGGCCTCCTGGGGGAAGACAGGAGCCCCGCAAAACATACGTCCCTACAAACAGCGCAGGAAGATGCTTTGCTGGGAAGGGCAGCTCAGTGTGAATCTTTTTTTGAACAATTCCAACTCAGTTGTAGTGGCATCGTCTGTTCTCCATGAAATGAGAAGGGGTATTAGCTGTCACAGTGGCCTTAAGCAAGCAAACTGTTTTGAAGAAATGTATAGGAATCTTCACATGCAAAATGATCATCCTCATGAGATGCTAGAAGGGTGGAAGATACATGTATCTTCTATATGTATTTTTTTGAGGAAGGGTCTCACTGAGTTGCCCAAGCTAGAGTGCACTGGTGCAGACTCAGCCTCCTAAGTAGCTGGGTCTACAGGCACAGACCACCATGCCTAGCTAATTTTTTTTTTCTGGTAGAGAAAGGGTCTCACTATTTTGCCCAGGCTGCTTGAACTCCTGGCCTCAAGGGATCATCCCACCTCAGCCCCTCAAAGTACTGGGATTATAGATGTGAGCCATTGCTCCCAACTCTATTTTTTTTCTTTTTAAGAAGGAGAGTGTTTATTAATTTGTGCAGCAGTAATAGAAGGAAAAGAAAAAAAAAGAAGCAAAAGTTTATACTATTTAGGAAAATGACCATAGACTCTCCTGGCATGTCTTAAGAGGTTATTCTGTATTGGGAAGGGCCCTTTGGATACCTACTGTCTCCCTAGCTACAGAACTCCAGCAAGTTTTAGAACTTACTGTAGCCCAGGGTGCATGGAGAGTAATCCCAGATCCTCTTTCTTTGGGAATGGGAGCAGAATGTTCTCTCTAAGAATTCCATATGTTTCCTCCCAGGCTGGCAAACGAGTCAGGCCAAAGGTTGCTTCAGCTTCCCTCCTTCCTTTATCTTCTGTTCTCTCTCGGTGGTAACTGTACTGTCACTCATCCGACTCACATATGGGTCTCCTCAGCACATCACAGAGAGCAGACCTGGACCTGACCTTGAAGTGCAGGAGACAGTCTCATGGCTGCTCCCCTGGGGCAGCATGGAGAATCTGGTTTTTTCCCCAGACCTTCAGTCTTAGGGAGGATGTTTTCAGGACAACAAGGATTTCACAGAACATTTACAGACTCCGTGAAATGAGTTTTTTATCCGTAGTCTAAAGATTTTACCTTTCCTTCTTATAGCCCACACATCTTGCTGACTTCACTCAAGTGCAGACCATTCAGTATTCAAACAGTGAAGATAAGGACAGAAAAGGAATGCTACAACTAAAAATAGCAGGTGCACCCGAGGTAAGGAACTGTTACATTCATCATTAAGGGAAAATGGTAACATAGTGGTGTTTTAGAACTATTGACTTCTTTATGAAAAGGATGAAGTTTTCATGGATCATCAGAATCACAACTTTCTTACATATTGAAAGGGTTACATTACAAATAATAATGATTAAATATCCCCAAGAATAGGACAGGAGACAGATTTAAAAATCATTCAAGAACATTATTGTAAAGATAATGATGATTAAAGATTATAATCAGGCCAGGTACCATGGCCCACACCTGTAATCCCAGCACTTTGGGAGGCTAGGGAGGGCTGTTCACTAGAGGCGTGGGGTCACATGGTGAAACCCTGTCTCTATTAAAAATACAAAGATAAACCAGGCATGGTGGTGCACACGTGTAATCCCAGCTACTTGCGAGGCTGAGGCACAAGAATCTCTTGAACCCTGGAGGCAGAGGTTGCAGTGAGCCAAGATGGCACAACTGCACTGCACCCTGGGTGACAGAGCAAGACTGTGTCTCAAAAAAAAAAAAAGGATTATCATCAAGTACCAAGGAAATTAACTTCTTGGAATTATATGTACAGTCATGTTTTGCTTAACAACAGATACATTCAGAGAAATACCTAATTCCCTGATTTCTTTGTTATGCAAACATCAGAGACTGTTCTTACACAAACCTAAGATGGTTGTAGCCTGCTATACACCTAGGCTATACAATATAGCCTGTTGCCCCTAAGCTACAAACCTGTATAGCATATTATTATACTGAATAATTCAGGCAATTGTAACACAGTGGTATTTGTATCTCTAAATATATGTAAACATAGAAAAGGCACAGTAAAAATACAGTATAAAAGATAAAAAATGATATACCTGTATAGAGCCCTTACCATGAGTGTAGCTTGCAGGATTGGAAGCTGCTGTGGGTGAGTCAGTGAGTGAATGGAGGGTGAATGTGAAGATCTATGACATTACTGTGCACTACTGTAGACTATAAACACTGTACATACTGTATATGAAGTATACACCATATACTTCAATTTATTTTTAAAACCTTTTTCTTTAGTAGTAAATATTAGCTTACTGTAACTTTTATATTTTATAAACTGATTTTTTTTCAGCTTTTTTGACTTGTAATAACAATTAGTTTTAAATATATTGTACAGCTGTACAAAAATATTTTCTTTTTTTACATACTTATTGTGTAAGCTTTTTTCTAGTTTTAAAATGATTTTCTGTATTTTTTACTTTTTAAAATTTTTCTTAAAAAGTAAGACACAAACATACACACTAGCCTAGGCCTACATAAGGTCAGGAATATCCATATCACCATCTTCTACCTCCACATCTTGTCCCACTGGGAGGTCTTCAAGGGCAGTAACCCATGAAGCTGTCACCTCCTATGAGATCAGTGCTGCCTTCTGGAATACTGCCTACAAGCCCTGCGCGAGACTGTTTTACAATTAACTTTTTTTTAAAAAAAATAAGTAAAAATACCCTCTATTTAAAAAAAAAAAAAAACAGTAAATACATAAACCAGTAACATAGTCATTATCCAGTATTATGTGCTGTCCATAGTTGTATGTGCTGTACTTTTATAAGACTGGCAGCACAGTAGATTTTTTTTACAGCAGCTTCACCACAAACATGAGCATTACAACTTCAGGATGGCTATGGCATACCCGGCAATAGGAATTCTTAGCTCCATTTTATAAATCTTATGGAACCACCATTGTATATGTGGACCATCATTGACCAGAACGTTGTTATGTGATGCATTGACTGTATATATACTGTAAACTGAGTTAATTTCCACACTGTGTTGTCCATGGTATTCTCTGGGTAGAAATAATTATTACGTGATTATAATAATTATTATTATATGATTATAATAATTATAACAGCAGCAGTACCTGATACTGGGCACATGCTACCTGTGGTTCTTTATGCAGAAGCCAAGAGAAGCTGTGTCATTCTCACAACCAAGGAAGTAGATACTTTGATATACTTTAGTTAACCCCATTCTGTAGTTGAGGAAACTGGGGCATAACAGGTTGGCCACATCAAGTAATTGACAGAGATAGGGTTCATACCCAAACAGTCTGGATCCAAAGCCTATATTCTTAACAGGCAACAGTGATTTAAAACAAGTGGCATGAGAAACAGCCATTTGGCAAATGCTGCCTAATGTGGTCCTTTCTGCAAGATGGAGAAAATACACTCATGTGTGAAAGGATCTGGACAGTCTGGTGGCACACACGGTTGTGCTGGTGTGTAAAGCATGTTTTTTGAAGCTCATCTGTTTCCATCAGCACACCAGGATTCTTTGGTCTGTTATGGCCAGTTCTCTGGGTGGCTTTATTTGCAGCACTCCTCACTTAGGCGGATGCCTCGTCACTCTTCTGCCCTGTGTTTCTGTGAGTTTGGTGACATCTGAGGGGCTCTAGGAACTCTTGTTGATTCTGGAGATTAAACAAATACTAATTTTCTTTTACATTAGAAATTATGATGGATGGTTGATAAAAAATTTAGTCCACGTGAGTTTCTGATAGAAGTCATACTTTAACTTGCTGATTGTCTAAATTCTTCCCTTAACTGGAGTATGCCAGAGGGGCCAGACATTCTGAAGGAAAATATTTTTTTCATCTATATTTATTCTAGAGCCCCAGTTTAAAAGATTTTTCTGTTTTCATCTGGGTTTGCGTTTGTCACATATTCTAGGAATAATGTCCTTAAATATCAGATTTCCTTTCTCAAATCTTATGACAAATCTTGTTTCATTCCCACTCTTCTCTGTTTTCAAGTGTATAGAGATGTCTGATGTCATAGCACAGCTGCCCTTTGCTTACAGGGAAGAACAATAAAGTCTGTTTTCTTGGTCTATTCTCCTTTAGCCTCTGACAGTGACGGCACCATCCCTAACCATTGCGGAGAATATGGCTGACCTGATAGATGGGTATTGCCGGCTGGTGAATGGAGCCTCGCAGTCATTTATCATCAGACCCCAGAAAGGTGAGGTGCTGTTTCTGAGCATTCCCAATTACATTTCTGCCAAATATTTAGCTGAGCTTGCCCCTAACAGCCTGTTTATCCTCTTTTAGGTAACTGTAAAAATGAAAACCAAATGAATAATTCAACTCAGTATAATCTGAGTACTTACTTTTCTAGGGATGGTGATCCATTTCACACCTTCCACAAGCTGGGAGCTGGGTTTGAATAGAGCCTAAAAAAAAAACATTGTCTGTGTTTTGAGCTACCTACTTAGAGGATTTTCTAAATTACCATTACTATTTTTAAATACATTAGTATTTTTAAACTTTTGGGTTTAAATAAAATTCTGGGTTTAAAAAAAGGAATCCCTTGTAACTCACTGTAAATAAAGTATCCTTTCTATTTTTTCTTATATATCTCAAAAGCTTAGACCATTTGAAGAATAAAATACTTTGTAAGTCATGAATCTTTAAAAAATCAAAGATTAGAATGAATAAATATCCTAGAAACATCACTATGAAAACCGTGCGGAGTTTCTGCAAGCATATAATGAGGAATGCTTTTGAGGATTTGGATTTCTGAAAGAATCAAATGAAAATATTCCCAGCAGGATAATAGCATACATAATGTGAAGCAAGAAAAGACTGAATTTGGAAATTATGGGACTTAAGTTCAAATCATGAGTCCTCTGTGACACCATCTATAAATTACTTTTCTGTGCCTCAGTTCTGTTATCTGTCAAACATGAAGAACAGTAACTGTCTTCTATGGTATTAGGAGGATAAAGGACTTATTTGTTTATAGGCTTGGAACTATGCCTAGCACACTTGATGCTCATAGATTTTAGTTATATTGTTGTTCCTGTTGTTGCTACTAGTTTAGTCTGATCTTGACACTGTATTAACCTAGACTTTGAGATACCTCATCTGTAAAAGAATGATACCTACTTTGTAGGGTTGTTAGACACGTCCCAAAGAGTAACTGTAAAGGAGCTCACACTGTGGAAGTGGGGACTCTGAATGTGGGTTTTGTCGTTATTGCCAAGACCCTTTCTAGCACTCACCTCAGTGACTAGGATGATTGTAGAGGGAAAAAAAAATCCTGAAGTGCTGTGTGGTGTGTGTTCAAGTCAGCAGAATTGTATTAAACAGTGATGAGGATAGAGAAAAGGCCAAAGCCCAAGTGAAGCAGATAGAAATGCAGAGGATCCAGCCTTGCCCAACAGGGAAGTACTCTGTTTACAAAGCAGTTTGAGAAAGGGATGGTGTTTGCATGGGAGGTATATGTGTGTGTTGTGTGTTTTGTAGAGAGGAGTCATTGGACCCTTTATTTATATATCTCAAAAGAGGTAAGTGATGGCGCTGTGCCCTGAAAACAGCAGCTGAAGCCATGAGCCTTCGCTGAGTAAACATAAATCTGTGTGATTCCAGGACGTGGCTTTTTCTAGAGAAAAAGTGTTTTTCCCACAGTGATCGCACCAGTAAGGCCTATTCGTATATTTTTCCTAAGTTTTCTTTGTATAAAACAGAGGAATGAAGTTGCTTTCAGAAATCTCTAAAGTTACTCTCAGTTAAAGCCTTTGCAGCTATAGGTCTTGATTTTTCACTTTGTGCTTTATTTTTTATTTTTATTTTTGACATTTTCTTCTTCCAGTGTCACACTTTATACTTTAAACAAGAGTATATGCCTTATAAATATTATTTAAATGTTTTCAGATAATTTCTTTACATAAAGATAGCAATTTAGGAAAAATGTTAAATGTGATAGATTGACCATTTCCTTTTTAGTAAACAATTTTTTATCTTTTATCTTCAGTTTACCAAAAGGTCCTTGAAATACACATTTAAAAATAACATTGGTATGTCAGGCATTAAATGAGCCTTCCATGTTTAAAACGTAAACATCTTCCTATATTGATTTCGCTATTAGCTAGCTTTTTTTTGATCTCTAGGGAGAAACATTTTGATATCAAAACATGAAATGTGATGCTTTTTAAGCTATTTGTTCATATGAAAAGAGCATTAATGAAAATACTTGTCATGAAAAGCTAGATAGGGTATTGGTTGTTTCCAATTTTATATTGTCTTTATAAAATGAATTATTAAACTTGATAATTTTCTTATTCTCAATCATAGCATGTTTATGTATTATATAACTATTTCATCATAGATCCCTAAGGTGAAGATATATTGCCTAGTTAAAATAATATTAAAGGCAAACATCAAACATCTTTAGTGGGTTGTAGTTAGAAATACATGTTGACACAGCACATGTGCATCTTTTAATTGAGATTTTTTAAGAATTCAAATGTTAAACATGTTTCTACAACTCTAATGTATCATTTTCCTGGAAACATGCTTTACATAATAATTATATATGCCCATCTGTCTTCTCTAGATCATAAACTGCTTATACATGTATACATGTATATGCGTAACATAGCATGACAGTAATAAGTGATCAGTACATTCTACATGTGAACTGGGTGTGCCCAGATGCATTTTGTTAGTTCTTTGATCTACCGTAGTTACTTTGGATTTATAAAGTGCTTTTTAAAAGGGATGTTTCCTTGTCATAGTGGCTCATGTCTGTAATTCCAGCTGCACAGGAGAATCCCTGAGGCCAGGTATCTGAGACCATCCTGGGCACACTGTATCTAAAAAAAAGTTAATTAAAAAAAAATAAAAATAAAAGGTGATTTTACTGGGGAGACCATAGTAAGAGCCACAAGCCAAATTGTCCTGGACTACATTCCACCACAGTCTGCATAACCTTGGCCCTTACTGTAGGACATTATCTAATCTACACCTTACCTGAAAGAAAGTTTACAATCAATTTTGCAGTGTTAGTAAAATTCTGTAGTAATATTTTTTCAGAGGAAAGTGAATAGTGTAATATAGAGTTGTAATTACATAATTTTAAGTAGGTTTTCTATGTATAGAATGATGGTGAATACTGTACATTTCAAGGGAGGGAGTGAATGCTTCTAAGCATGACAAATTCCGAAAGAGATAAAAATAAAATTGTTATATTTAATTACATAATTAAAACACTTATGTGCTGCTGAAGTGAGCACAATTACATAATTAAAACAATTCGTTTAGTACAAGGTAACATTTTTAAAGCTATGATGACAGGGGAAAATATCTATGACACATATAACAAGTAATTAAAATTTCTCATTTTCAAGTATTCTTCCAGCTCATTCAGTAAAAGACAAGCTAGTATAAAAATGGGTTACCTTTTAGAGGAATGGACACACAAATGTTCAGTGAATATATGGATACAGTGATATATTTCGTTTTATATTTACTACGTTGACTAAAGAAACCTGATAACCACCACTGGCAAGACTTCTGGAGAATACACTCTCATGCTTGTGTCATTGTAAATTGGTACATTTTCAGAAGACAGTTTAGGAGTACTCTGCCCATTTGTCTGCCTCTTGGAAATCAGTCATGCAAACCACTGACCTAAGGAGGATATTCACTATTGCATTGTTTATAATAGCAAAAAATGAGCAAAAATTAATAAATGAGGGAGTATGCATACATGATGTAATACTACGCAGCTGTTTAAAAAATAGCTCTATTAATGTATTAAAAACCTACATGTAAATGTGTGTATATGTCTCCAAACTTTTGTATTTATAAGCATTAAAAAGTCTGGTAAGTTAAGTCGCCAGTTTCAGTTAAGACTTCTAAGAAGAATGGAAGTACATTTGAACAAAAACATTAACTCCCAGAATTAGACATTTTAGGTAGTGAGTCCTTAGGGTTTTCTTAAATACTGCTTCTACTGATGGTGTCTGTTGCCATTTTTCTGTATTCCATTATTCTCTTTATAAAAATATTCTCTCAGAATCCTTCTGTTGCTTATCTCCTTCTTTATACCTGCCTTTCTACCCACGCCCAGCTACTTAGGAAGTCTCCTATTAGCCAAAAATATAATAATGGATTCCTTTTTCTTTCAGGAAATAGAAATTTCAACAGCGTGCAAACAGAAATCACACTAATGTGTCATTTGAAAGGCTATATTATTAACAGTTTGGGTATGAGTAAGGTGGTGGTGCTGGTGGTGAGTGGTGGTCATGTTCATGGGATAATAAACTTATCAGGTCTTTTCAGTTACTCTGAATTTGGTCTTCCTGGTGTGACTTGGTTATTTTGCTTGAAATAGATGTTCAAAATGTCAACAAGTGATGGCTTGCAGTTTGGCTTGAATTCCTATGATGTGCAGTGAGTTGTATATATACAGCGTTAAGCCTCACAACCATCTCTGCAAATTAGAAGAATTAAACAGTTTTTCAGAAAGAGTAACATGGGGTCCTAGGCTGATTTTTTTCTTTCTTTACCAAACAGTGGTCGGAGAGTCTCCCAAGTGCCAGATACTCCGCTAGGTATTAGGGATGCCATTGGGCAGCTTAAGTCTTACCGTAACCTTAGGCAGGTTGAATAGTCTGTGGAGAAGTATGATATGTGGCAAATACTCTGTGGATGCAGCAGAAACATAGGGGATGCCACTCAGTACAGACTAAGGTATTCCAGGAAGGGCTCCCTGCAGGAAATAGAACTTGAATTGAGCTTTGAAATATTGAGGAATGTTTCTACCCGAATGAAGGAAGAGCAACTTTCAAGGCATGTGTGGTATGTTCAGGGAAATACAATGTGCAGCAGTATAGAATCAGGGAATAGTGACGAGTAATACCGAAAAGCCAGATTGGCCAGACCAAACACTGCATGCTTTCAACATGTAGTTGTTGAGCTCCTCCCATTTTCCAGGCACAGTTCTAGGATAGAGGTTGTAGCAGCAAACAAAATAGACAAGGTTTTGCATGCATCAAGTTTCTTGTAGGTGAGGACGTACATGCAATAAACAGTGTAAATTAATAGAGAAAATAAATACTGTAGCATATAATATATCAATGGTGTTGAGCTGTATCGAGAAAAATAAGACAGGGAAGAACGTAAGAGATACAATTTTAAATAAGGTTGTCAGGGAAGGTCCCACTGAGAGAGTCG